GTGATCCTCCTGACTCAGCCTCCCAAATAGCTGGGACTACAGATGGCCTTCCATAATGCCTGGCTAGTTTTTCTATTTTTAGTAGAGATGGAGTCTCACTCTTGCTCAAGCTGGTCTTGAACTCCTGAGCTCAAGCAATCTACCTGCCTCAGCCTCTCAGAGTGCTAGGATTACAGTAGTAAGCCAGAATACTCCTCCAAAGGTTAATATTTCTAATACTCAACATTTGGATCTGTGCTGTGTAGACTGGGGACCCATCTCTAGTCTCATATATAATGGTTAGTGCTACTTATCTCCTGGTGCTTCCGTAGGAAATTCTGTATCACAGTAACATGGTACAAATCCAGGGTTATGAGCTTTGTGAACCCACATCATTTGGGGAGTAGGGATATGGAAATCAGACTCAGGATGCCCTATCAGGCCTGCTGATAAGACCCTAGTTAGAACCCCTACCATAAATACACAGCCCCAAGCAGCCAAAAAGATATTCCAAGATTGTTTAAAATGGCATGCTTCTTTTCCTAATATGTATTTATCTTAATTCTGGGAAGACTTAAAATTAAACATAGAAAATTTTAATAGGATCAAAGCTATAGCACTAATATTTTTTATTTAAAAGATTTATGTATATTTGACATTTCAAGTAATTATTTAAAATAATTTGGCTTAGGTAACATACTAGCCTGTATTTCCAAATTAAAATGTATAATGAAGTGATTGATTTAGGTGTGACTTTGGGGAGGGTCGAAATCTTATTAGGTTTGTAAATATTAGAGCATGTAGGAGAATTTTATTAGGTTTCTAAAAGCTGTTTAAAGGAAGATTTTATAAGGTGAAGTAGGTAATTCTAATACACGGGTCACTATAAAAGTTTTGAGGTGGGCTGTCATTGGTCCATTGTTTCACTTCCAAGAAACACAGTTGACAGCGTCCTTTCTCATTCACCCAGGCAAGTTTCAAGTTGCTCGGCTTATCGGTGTGGATGGGAGGGCTTCATTTGTTTTTGTCCACATGGATTTTATACAGGGTGTCCCTAAAGTTTGTGTGCATACAAGAAATTGTACTTCTTGGTTTTTCTGTATCTTAAAACTATGCTAATGACCCACACATTCTAAAGAATTCAATAATTACTGTTTGTGGCTTGGAAAATGGATGAAAGAGAGAGCACAGACTTTTGCAAGGTGATCTTGCTCATCCAAAGAGCAAGAATGTGAGACCTAGGATAAGCTTTGAATGAAATGATGAGTGTAACGTAGTATTCACCACATAGGACTCAGTAAAGGGTCTGTTGAAGTATAGTCATGTGTCACTGAATGATGGTGGTAACATTCTCAGAAATGCATCGTTAGGTAATTTCATCAGTATGTGAACATCATAGAATGTTATACAAACCTATATGGGATAGCCTCCTATACACCTAGACTGTGTGGTATATGACTTACTGCCCTTACCTACAAACCTGTATAATGTGCTAATGTCCTGAAAGTAATACCATATGGCTCAGTATTTGTGTGTCTAAACCTAGACAAGGTACAGTCAAAATACTCCTTATAATCTTACGGGATCATTGTCGTCTACGTGGTTCGTTGTTGACCAAAATGTCATTCATTACACTGTACCCAAAGTATGAGTTGATGTTAACTCCAAGGGTCCTTGTATACAGACTGTAGAGTACCACATACAGTCAAATTCTGGATATTGATTCATTCAACCAAATGCCATAAGAAATTGAAAATCAGTTCAATAGGTTATATGCCACACTTACCACACTATTCTGTAGCAGAAAGTAGGCGAGTTTGAGGGTAAGAGACATTTTGCCATCTGGACAAGGCTCAGAGGAAATTGTATATATCATACAGAGCCTGAGAGCTATTTCATCTGGGTCACTCAGAGAGCCCTGAATAAGGGCACAGAGGGGGCCCCCGGGCTGGAGGATGCTTAGCTTGTCTGCAGACGTTGCCGTTTAGGTCTGGCTTCTGGTAATTAGGTACTCCTAGCTGGGCTGTGCTGCCAGCAAGCCTTTGAGATAAATTGCAAAATCTGTACGACCATCTGAGAGACGGAGAAGTAGACCCAATGACACTACAGGGGATATTGGTAGTTCTCAAAAGTTTGAAAGAGAATGCTTAGAGAAGCAGTCCTCCAAACTGAATTTAGAGGTCCTTTTTCCTGTGGTCAGAGTTCACTTACAGAATCAGGATCTGAGATCCTGACAGGCTGGAGTGATAGGCTGAATCTAACAGGATGAATGGGAGCAAAAATAAATGGAAGGTTCTGTTTTTGGGTTTGAAAATGCTAAATATGCCTAAAAAGATTGGGAACATGAGTAGGGATGTATCTGTGGGTGGCTATGATGTAGCCTTGTTCTTACTGACTTAAAAACAAGCAGCATCTGGAGATGAAAATTATGGGAAGTCCCAAATGAGGGTGGTTGGGGGTTTTTGTTTGTTTATTTGTCTTGCGGCGGGGAGACAGGGTCGCAGTCTGTTGCCCAGGCTAGAGTGCTGTGGTCAGCCTAGCTTACAGCAACCTTGAATTCCTGGACTCAAATGATCCTCCTGCCACAGCCTCCTGAGTGGCTGGGACTCCAGATATGTACCACCACACTCAGCTAATTTTTTTATTTTTTGTAGAGATGGGGTGGAGGGATATCTTACTATGTTGCTCAAGGATCTGCTGGTATCAGCCTCCCAGAGTGCTAGGATTACAGGTGTCAGCCACTGTGCCTCGCCAAGGAAGGTCTTTTCATTCTTTGATATATTTTAAGGTAGAGTGGGTGGCTTCCTCAATTCTAGACATGCTGGTTTAGGCTTATGAGGAGTTAGACTTTCCAGGATGAGGATAGATGCTCCAGGGGCACTTACTGGTCCCCAGATTTTGAAGCTCCTTTGCTTTTAGGTGACAACCGTGTTCTGCATAGCCCCAACACTAACAGCTGACAGAGCTGTGACTGATGTAGGAACGTTCTAGGCACCATTGAGAAAGTGTGTAGAGTTCTCAGACAAGATTTCCGCAAGGACATTTTGGCAGTGGTCCTCTTCATTGTTGACAGTTCTTTACTCTGCCTGGGGGATGGGGTCACCAGAGGCTGTGTTATTTCCTTATTCATTTTCTGGGCCAGGGTGCTGAGCGCTAGGGGAGGCATTGTGGAATAAGACAAGAGTTCTTGCCATCTTTAAATATGTAGTATGTCTGGGAAGAAGTAAGACCACGAAGACAAATCATACAGCTGACATGGCTGTGCATGTGGTGACTGTTCATTTGTGTCAGGAAGAAGTGGTGCAGGTTGTGCTATGGTGAGAGTGTGGGGCAAAGCCCCCAAACCTAGCTGGGTGGTGAGGGGAGGCTTCCCTCAGGGAATAGCGTTGAAGTGGGGCCTTGAGGGAGAAGTATGGTCTACCTGGACAGTCTTGGGCGAATGAATGCATAGCAGACTCAGGACTTGTTCTTGACCAATAGCGGGGAACTGACAGAAAGCCGGCCAAAAATAGTATTAGGAAATGGAGGTTTCCATTTACAGTAGAGAGTATGAAAAAATACTTCCAGTTCTTGGCATTAGAGCAAGTTAAAGTCATCAATGTGGCCTGGTCAGATGAACCATGTCTTGTATGAGTGGGGTTTTATTTCATGTGGTATCTTAGTAATGCATTTCCGCACTTAGCTTGGGATGTATTTTCTTTTCTCTTTGTCTCTCTCTTTTTTTTTTTCTGAGACAGGGTCTTTGTTTCCCAGACTAGAGTACAGTGGTGTCATCACAGTTCATAGCAACTTCAAACTCCTAGGCTCAAGCATACCTCTTGCCTCAGCTTTCTGAGTAGCTTGGAACTCCCAGCATGTACCACCACGCCTGGCTAGTTTTTCTATTTTAGTAGCGACAGGGTCTCACTCTTGCTCAGGCTGGTCTCCAACTCTTGAGCTTAAGGAGTCCACCCACCTCGAACTCTCAGAGTGCTATGATTACTGGCGTGAGCCACCATGCCTGCTGATATTTTCTTATTATATTATAGTTCTGTGAAGTCAGGTTATCTGAGACTTCTCATTTCCTGATGGGGTAGGAATGGAAGGTTTTTGTTTATATCTTTAGGTATTTTTCTTTTCCCGAAAGCTTAGAAAGCTTGAAGGAGGTTGAGTTGTTTTTTATTTTTATTGATGGGATTTGTGCATAGTCGGTCACTGATACACAGTACTTGGGAGGAGGGCTGTGCGCTGCCGAACTCATAGCTTCTCATCATTGTAGGGCTTCTGTGGCCACAGCCGTTCATTCTGTGGCTGTAATGATTAACTGGAGTTAACCTTGTATGAGTATAAACCTGGATGAGAAAGAAAAGGAATATGAAAAGTAAAAGACTGGAACAGAAGTGGTTTTTTTTTTTTTCTTTTCAGATTTACCTTTCTTTGTATTTATTGCTGATATGAGTGACCACCCATTTAGGCACAAGCATGCAAATGATAAAGCACATTTTAAAAAGATACATCTCTGTCTTCAATTCAAAATTAAATGCCCTTCATCTTAGTTTTTCCTAGTTATCACTTCTGCAAACAATTGTTGTGTTTTCTAGCATTAATAAACTCATCGCTGTGACTTTAAAATTTCTGATTTGAATTCTATTTCCAGCTTTCAGGGAGCTTTTTTCCCCCTCCCTTTTAAAAGTTACCCACCTTGTCCAGGCACAGTGGCCCAGGCCTGTAATCCTAGCACTCTAGGAGGCCAAGGCAGGTGGATCCCTTGAGCTCAGGAGTTCCAGACCAGCCTGAGCAAGAGAGAAACCCTGTTTCTAAAAAAAAAAAAAAAAAAAAGCCAGCCATTGTGGTGGGTACCTGTAGTCCCAGCTACTCAGGGGCTGAGGCAAGAAGATCACCTGAGCCCAAGAGTTTGAGGTTGCTGTGAGCTATGATGCCATGGCATTCTACCATGGGTGACAGAGTAAGACTCTCTCTCTAAATATATCCATCCATCCATACAGGTTACCCACCTTATTGTAAATTCTTCTTTCTTCCAGGTAGGAATGAATTGATAGCCAGATACATCAAACTCAGGACAGGGAAGACGCGGACCAGAAAACAGGTAAAATAGACCGCCTGGAAATTGTGCATGTCAGTGAATGGCCCAAGGAGGCATTTTGGCTGCAGTGGCTGGCTGTGCTTTGGCTCCTAAGAGCCCCCAATTCGAGTTCCCTGTAAGGACGTCAGTGTTGCAGGTGTATTAAATTGGCTCCGTTTTCACTGTTCATCATTTCAGTGGCCCTTTATTATGTGGTCTGCCAAGTTCTTTTTGCACTCAAACGGGAAAGTTTCACTGCTCAGGACAGTGAATGAGCTGCTCCTGTGCTGTATGTCACAAATGACATTTCTTTCCCAAATTTGTGCACCTGTGAACATTGTGAAAGTTGCAGGTGTAAATGCACTTGTACGTTATGAAATATTGAGATTTTGTGTCTTGTAAAATCCTGGAACGATTACGTATTAGTCATCGTTTCAATGAAAAAGTGATACTAGCAGCCTTGGATATTGACCTGAATCTCATGTTAAATGATGTGCGTCCAGGGAACTGTTGCTTCTTAAGCGATGGCTTTTTGTCAGTAAGCTGCTGTGACTGAAATGGAGTTACAATTTAAATACCTCTGTGCAGAGCAGTTATCAGGAATTCTCTGCCCTTTGTTGGGGCTCTGCCTCCCCTCATTCTTTAAAATGTAAAGCAGCCCAAATCTCTACATTGACCCAGTTTAGTTCTGAAATGGAGGAAAAATGAGTTAATGTTTAACTAAAAATAGAAAAAGAAAGGATGGGGGGAATCTCATGGGTGAGTTGTTAACAGAAAAAAATTATTTTTTAAATGTTGATTTGTGCTGAATGATATGGCACGGACCTTAAAAACTGTAATCAAACTAAGAAGGAAGCTAAACTGTGGTCTCATTAAGACTGAGCAGCAGATTTGGGTTTCTCTTCCCAGTGAGGAATTGTTTTCATGAGTGTCTAGAATGGGGAGAGGCCTTTCCCCAGGAATGCTGCATGTGCCACAGCCTGGGAGTCTGGCTGCTGAGTCAGCACAAAGAGAAGTGGCCTCCTGCCAGTGCACAGAGGCTGGGCATTGTCTGTTTGGGGTCTGCTCCCCCTGACAGCGGCCCTCATCAAGACTGAGAATTACATAAGAACAAAATTTGGGTGAAAACGAGTAACAGCAGGGGCCAGATGGAGGGGTGAAGAGGATGGGGGAGTTTCTGCTTCTCCATACTTATTCTTTTTTTTAAGTATAAAAGCAAATTTGGAAAGCAATAATTGAAACTCAGAGGCAAAGTTAAAGATAAAAGGATCTTTTATTATCATAAATCCTGTTTTTAGAATTGCTAGAGAGTTTGAAATGAGGTAATCGCCTCGCAGTCTGAGTTGCTGAACTTCTAAATGGAAGGTTCTAAATTTCTGAAAGGGACGGATCTAATCCATCACATACTGAGAATGCTGGGCCTGGCCTGTCTGCTGGTCTGTGAGCTCTGGTCATTTGCCCACTGACCCCTTCATGGGGGACTCTTCTAAATTTAACCAAGTCCCTCTGAAAGAGATGCAAATTTGTTTACCCAGTGGAATCATTGTGTTTAGAAGCTGGGCTTGGCTATATATCCACACCCTGACGTCCTAGGGATGTTTTCAGGCAGCAGTTGGTGATACCTCTCCAATGTGAAATTTGTTGTTCAGCAAATCTGTGTGGTTTTCAACCCAGATTTTTAACAGGATGGCTGGCTGGCTGTATTCACACATTTCGCTTTGTAATAATATGCAAATCCACTTGGCGCCCAGTCAATACCCAAAAGAGTGGAAGGATTAAAGATATTTATAAGGGGGGAAAAAAAAGCTCTGCTAACTGGGTCTTTCCATTTCTCTTTGAGATCTAATTTACATGTCAGTATTATTTTAACATTTGCTACAGAATCCAGAGCTCTTAATGAGATCAGAATACAACCGACAGCTTCAGCTTTTTGATTCTGCAGAATGTGCTAATTTATGGATAGTCTCTTCTAAATTGAGAAGGATTTTCCCTCCTGACACTGAGAAGCTATAAATATTTTCATTTACCTCTACCCCCACCTTTTTAATTTTAGAAAGTAAACACCCCTACTCACTCCCCCTCTCATCCCTCCCCAAATTAGATTTTTCCCAGTGCCCATGATTTCTCCTGGGTGGGAAAACTAAGATGAGCCTAAACTTCCATCCCGAATCAAGTCACTGCAGTGATGACCCAGTATGAAAAGCTTAGAGCCGCGCTGGGGGCTTGTGTCTGGCTGGGACTGTGTATTCCTAACTGCAGAGCTTTGTTGAGATGCAAATAACCACCCCCAACCCCACCCCACCCCAAACCCTCCCAAGGAGTAGCGATTTTATATTTGATTTCCTTTTTTTTTTGTTTTGTTTTGTTTTGTTTTGTTTCCCCTCATAAACCCGAACAATGTAGGTGTCTAGTCATATACAGGTCTTAGCAAGAAAGAAAGTTCGAGAAATTCAAGCCGCCATTAAGGTACGTCTGGCTTGCCCAGTTGTAGGGGGCTTTTCATCTCCATGGTTACAGGCTTTTCCTTTGTTTTCCTCCCTTCCCCTACCCTGCAGGTGTCTAGTCACATTCAGGTTCTTGCCAGAAGGAAATCTCGTGATTTTCATTCCAAGCTAAAGGTATGCGCTTTTCTGCTTTTTGGCTTGTGGTTGCTATGCATCTCACTTCCTGTTTTCCATGGTGACTGGTGAATGCCTGGTGCTGGGATTCTCGTAACCTAGTTTCCTTGCATGTGAGAGCTGTTTACATTTCTTTGTGTCTAATCTCTCTGTTTCTGTACTAGCCTCACATTAAACTCAATGTGTGCGTGCGCATGTGTGTGTGGGGTGTGTGTGCGTGCGTGTGTGTTCCTTATAACAATGCAAATGCAGCGAGAGCTGGTCTTTGATAACTTTTCAGCACAGAAACATGATTTTGTTTTTAACCTTCAGATGTCCACCAAACAGCCCTGGGCTAGGAGAGCTTAAGAAAAAAGTCCAGAGACGCAAAATTGGTATAGAAATTATTTTTTTAAAAAAATCATTTCCTGAAATGGTCATGAGATTATTTTTTAAAAGTATTTAGAAATTATGAAAATAGGTCTTTTTCATGTCTCTTCCACCACAGAGAAATATTTTCAGCCAGATTTCTTGCACATTGTTCACTATTGTTTTCTAAATGAATGGCTCTCCTATTAAAAAAGAAATTTGAAGAGCAGCCTTATAAAAAGAGAGAGATTGGACGTTAGAAATGGGAAAGCTCTTGATCAGACCCATGTTTGTAATTTCATTTATGTTTGAGTTGGCTTAAAAATATTTTCTAGATGTGCCTTATTTTTTAGTCTGTTAAAATATATTTCATAGCAAAAATGGAGGCGTTAATTTCTTAAATACAAATTCACCCTACTTTATTTTCTCCTTTCTAAAATTTGCGGTACAACATTTGTGATCTTATTTTTCCATAATGCCTTATTTTAAAAATGCAGAGGGATTATACTTTGCACAGAGGGCGCTCAGTTTATAATAAAAATTTTTAGCCCAAATTGGTGCCTTTCCCATCGGCCTTTATTTAGGGGTCTGTCCTAATATTTTTCTAAAATTTTCTAAATTTAATCTATTAGTGAAGTGTGCCTTGCTTTTCTAAACTAAAGAACAGTGTCATTTCACAGCACGGAGTGGTGAACACTGGGACCTTTCCCGGAGTCCTTTAACTTTTTTAATATACAAACAAGGCTGGCTGTGGAGCAGGACTAGTACTAGCAGGAGCATTTGGTGTGCCCTCTGTAGAGCAGCATGCTGGCTCGCTCGCATGTGTGGCTGACGGTGGCTGGCTTTTAGCTGCACTGGCTGAGCAGTTGGAAGACTAAGATAACCTCATAGATCCTTGCTTTTTAACCGAAAGTGCAATACTCTCTATATGAATGTATCTACCCCAGTGTTCTGACTCTGTTTCTAGTTTCTCTGAGCTAATGAATTAATAATGTCCAAAGAAGTTTACAGATATCAATTTTGTGTTTCCGTCGGCGATGTTACGAATTGCTCTCTTTCTGCACTGTCTATGTGGTGCCTGTCAGCTCACCAGGGCACACAACTCTGGGAGTGAGGATACAGCCCTCCTCTTCAGAAGGGATCCCTGGGTGGGGTATTAGGAGGCACTCTTTTTCTCCCTCGGTGATTTTTAACAATTTTCTTCCATAGAAAACAATTCTGCTATGGCCTCGTACATACGCATGTGTACAAATACACAGCTATCTTTGTGTTTGCTATTTAAAAATAAAGGAAAAAAGGCTTTTCCCTTTACTTTCAGCCCTGGGCACTATCCATTGGGGCAGACACAAGGAAGAGATGGAGACAGGCAGTAGGATAGCAACTGGCTCAGCATTTAAGCTCCAGCAATCACCTTGGTCTTGTAGTTCTTCCCTTCTTCCCTGTCACTTTATTCTTGGAAAAAAATGGAGTCCTGTGTTTTCCTACAAGCTAATGCTAATTGCATGTTCCAGGTATGGTGCCCCTATTCAGGGAGCTGGCTGTGTAAATGGGAATGTGAAACAGAGGGCACTTGGGTGTTAGCAGGAAGAGCCAAAGGGAAATACAGAGGGAATTCCGGGGATGAGCTTCTTGGAGAATATATTTCTGAGTTTGGGAATTGATGGTTACCAGTTATTGTAATGCAGAGCCTCTGGCATGTTTTGTCATTTAGGCTTACTAAGTGAGTTACCTTACTCTGATTTTGAGGACTAATATAGATGAAACTGGGGCTCAGAGAGCATAATTGACTTAGCTAAAGTCACCAAGCCTACCTAGAATGTGGTGAAGCCAAAATTTGGATTCAGATCTTTCTGAATCCTGAAGTAATTGTTCTTTCTGATGGGTTGTATCAAGTAGAGGTGAGAGGAGATTTTCAAGCAGAAGGTTTATGCTACACATGGTACATAACCTTTCATCCCTCACATGCCTCGGAGCTTGGGCCTTCAGCCCTTGCTACCAGCCCTTCACTTAGCTTTACGTTTTAACTTTGAACCCTTGGTCAAAATCTGGACTTTCTTTGGGATCAACACTGTGGGTGATGTGGGCCTGGCCACAAAGCTGCTTTGTCAGCACTGATTCTGTCCTTAAGTTTCCGAGCCAGCCCTTAGCAGAATATGGGCTCAGGGCTGTTGGTCTTAGAGGATAAGTGGGTCTCACTGGTCCCTCCACACTCTCCTGCGCAGCCCTAGAGTCCAGTAGCACATTTGTGAGGAGGCCTGGACAGACTTTACCAAGGCTGTGTGGCTGATCGCCACAGTCCTCTGGGCCTCCCACACTAGCTAGTGAGATAACCCTGCAATGCAAAGTTGAGGTTATCTCCACCAAAAATTGACACTCACTCTCCTGCATCCTCAGTAATGGCCTCTTTGGATGTACAATAGGTTTGAAAACCACCTGTGTTAGGCAGATGGAAGAGGAGGTGACTGACTAGCTTTCACTTTGCATTTAGGGACATGTTCTGTCTGCCATGTTCTAAGTTCTACCACGTTCCTGTAAAGAAAATAGTCAGAGAGAGTGGTCATTCTCATGTCATATTGACAGATGAGTCATCCCAGCTACAGAAGTCACTCTCTTGAAAATCCGTTAAAACAGCAGTTCTCAACCTGTAGGTCACGACCCATAATAACTGTATTGAAGGGTTGGGACATTTCGAAGGTTGAGAACCACTGTGTTAGAATAAGCTCCGAAGGTCAGCTTTATGCTCCTGCTAACTACAGTGGTTCTCAGAATGCTTGTTTATGGACTGTATCATCCCCAAAGTGTGTGGACTTTCATTTCATCTTAATTTTAGTAAAGAAAAAATGGTGCTCATGAAAATTTAGTATTTCTGCATAGATTTGAACTTGAAAAGCACAGAAGTGATTTCACCATTCAGCCCAGTGACTTTTCATTGAGAACTCAGTATGCTGTAGGCTCTTTTGTAGATCTTGGACAAACGGAGTTGAATAAGCAGAGTCTGTGTTCTTGGGGAGCACTTATTTTCTATTACTTTTTCAGTAGGTCATATGCAGCTGGGGGCTGGCTCTGCTATAGAAATTAAGCAGGGTAGTGTGAAGGCTGCCCAGTGAAAAGAATGATTAATTCTGGGAATGACAGAATGGAAGAAAGGTTCGTGGAGGAAGTGCCCTTAGAACTGAGTGTAGAGGGCGGCAGGGAATTTCCATAAAGACCGAGAGTGTTGGGGAACCTCAGAGAGCCCTACATAGTTAGAGGCGTGAGAAAGAAATGAGACTAGGTACGCCAGGTGAGAAGACCCTAGGTCATACCACGGGGGAACAGGGATTCAGCTGTGAGCCTTGGGGAGTACATGGGGGTCCTTCAATGCCTTGGAACAATCTCACCAGCTATGTTTTTGAGGCTAGCTAATAACAGAGAGGCTGAGCTGCAGGTAGGAAGACTAATGCCCACGCTGTTTTAAGAGTGGGTGAGAGATGTGGGCCTGGACCAGTAGCTGAACACCTCCCCCCACCCCCAGGCTCTGTTCTGTGGCATTCAGCTGTCATCCTCTGCTGACTCCCACTCCAGTCCACTCTGCCTGCCCTGTGCTCTTTCTAACTCATTGTTTTTAAAGAGTAAATTATGTTTATAAGTTATGTCCTTATTCTGAAAAGTATAGTGTATCAAAAATTTTCACAAATATATTCAATAGCAGCATTTAAAAAATTTCCTTAATAAAGGTTGGGATCTCTTAAAGTAATGGCAATTAACTGGAAGCGTGCATCAAAATTAACTGTAAAGTCTTTGTTGTTAAATTTTAAATATATAAAAGTGAATAGTACAGAGAATAACATGTTAAATACTCATGCTTTTTACTCTCCAGAACTGATTGTTTTCATTCTGACGTATTTCCATTAAGTTTTTAAAATGTAAAATCAAATGGTAGAATATTACTCTATCCCTCTTTCTATCTAATAAATTCATCTATCTACCTTCCTTCTCCAACTAAAATCAAAATCAGTCTCTCTCCCCTCATGCCTCCCACAATGTCTTTCCTTGCCATTTATTTCCCTAAGAAAATCGGCTCCATTGAAAACTCTCTTCTCCTTTGCCCCTGGATTTTCACCCATTGCCTGCCATGACTTTGTGCTGTAGTCATTGGCACCAACATGAGACTTTTTTTTATGCAATCTGCAACAACTTACACCAAGGTAGACTTGGCCAACAATGTGGGATGACCTTGGATACAGATCATGACAATGGGGGAGAGTTGTAAGGGGCAGGAAAATTGAGAAAATATAAGGGGCTGGTTGAAGTAGAGAGGGAGTAACATGAGGGACGATGACCTAGGAGCAGAGAAACTGAGAGAGCAGAGAGGTTGGCCGATTGCAGTTGAGAACCAACAGCCTGGCAGGATGGACTAAGGGAATAAAAGTCGTTTATGGCCAAAGCATGAGGTTGTAGGATCGTGGGTTGTATTTATTTATTTTCAAGACAGAGTCTTACTCTGACAGAGTACTGTACCATTTTAGCTCACAGCAACCTCAAACTCCTGGATTCAAATGATCCTCTTGCCTCAGCCTCCAGAGGCAAAGACCACGGGTGTGTACCATCACACATGGTTAGTTCTTTTCTATTTTTAGTAGAGACAGGGTCTCACTCTTGCTCAGGCTGGT